CTTTTTACCACAAAAGGTTTATCATTCCTAATAGCACATGTGTGTGTGCTATGACCAATGTATTTGCAAAGACCACATTTTCTATAAAGTGCTTTTGATTTAATGGAAGGTTTATGCGATTTGTTAAAGGGTTTTTCATTTGAAAACATTTTATAACTCAAACCTTCTTTGTTAAAAGCACACGTTTGTGAAGCAAGCATTTCATCAAGTCTCTTGCTTCCCAAAGTGAATTTGCTCAAAATTCCCTTTGTTTTTTCAAGTTCATTTTTGGAACCAATGTTTTCTTTTTGCAAGTTTTCACAAGACAATTTTAAAACATCAATTTCTTTAATCAAGGAAGTTTTCTCACATGAAATTGATGTAGGGAAAATAGTGTTAAATTAGGATTTAATTAGAATTTAATTTTGTTTCCCTTTCTTTATTTGATTTTCTTATTTATTTAGGGTTTCATATTAGGAATTCAAGTACTTTTCTATTTTAATTAGGAGTTTAGTTGATTTAGGAAGTTTTGATTTAGTTAAATTTTACTTTCTTATTTATAATTAGTCAGTAGTTGGGATGTCTTGTTTTAATTAGTTTTGGTGTTTAGGTATGAATTTATTTCCTTGTTTAATTAGAGTCTTGTTAGGGTTGGTTGTAACCACCCTATATAAACATATTATTCGTTTCTTTTGAAGATATAGAATATTCAATAAATTATTCAGTTTTTACTTCAAATTTTGTGGTTTAAGTTTCTGGATTGAGATTTGTGTTAGCAGTTGTAAAGGTGTAGTCGTGTGCTAACCTTGTTTATCACGCTAATTTGTTGCGTCAATTGGTATCAGAGCAGGCAAAATTCATCTGATCTAATGGCAGGTGATGAAGTTGTAAGAGGGGCGGTTCTCATGATGAAGATCAGGGAGTTGAGACCTTGCAAGGGGTGGCGTTGAGGGCTTTGGAGCAACGAATCGATCTCATATTCTAGCATTTGGAACGACATTTTGAACGATGCTTTTAAAAAATTGTAGATCGACTTGATGCTTTGAACGAAGATGCCAATAGAAATTGGAATAAGGAGAGGCAATGCACCGGAGATAATGTGGCTCACGGACAACCTATTGACAAATTAGTTTTTGCAAACAAGCGTAGACAACAAGTTTATGTGAAAGATTTGGATGAAAAAGACGACTGCTTTGTAGATTTTGGGAGGCAAGTTGGATATGGACAAAGGGATTATGGGGATAAAGATATCAACGAATTCAAATTAAAGGGAGATATTCCTTGTTTTAATGGTAATTTAATTCTTATTTATTTAGGGTTTCATATTAGGGATTCAAGTACTTTTCTATTTTAATTAGGAGTTTAGTTGATTTAGGAAGTTTTGATTTAGTTAAATTTTACTTTCTTATTTTATAATTAGTCAACAGTTGGGATGTCTTGTTTTAATTAGTTTTGGTGTTTAAGTAGAATTTTATTTCCTTGTTTAATTAGAGTCTTGTTAGGGTTGGTTGTAACCACCCTATATAAACATATTATTCGTTTCTTTTGAAGACATAGAATATTCAATAAATTATTCAGTTTTTACTTCAGATTTTGCGGTTTAAGTTTCTGAATTGAAACTTGTGTTATCAGTTCTAAAAGTGTAGTCGTGTGATAGCCTTGTTTATCACACTAACTCGTTGCATCAGAAATGCAATCAAAATCCTTTTTGAGTTTTTCATGATCACTCAAGAGTTTTGCATGCTCATCTTTCAAAATGCATGTTTGTTTCTTTAAAACACAGTTGCTTGAAGAAACATTTTTAAACTCTTCCATTAATGATTCAAATGCTCATGGTTTGTCACAAAATTGCCAAAGGGGGAGATTATTAGAGCATTACTGGTTAGGAGGACTTGTATGTGAGAATGCGTGATAGAATAACTAATGTGCATGAGACTGTTATGAGAAGAATAAATCAGGAAGACTTATGTTAAAAGGACCATAGCAATGCTTCAACTGATATGATAAGAGTAATAAAAATATAAGATTTGTAAGCTGAGAAGTGATGAATAAATAAAAAAATTAAAAGATCTTTAAATTACTTTCTTAAGAAGCACTCCAAGTTATAGATAATCTCAAAGTAAATATAGCACTTTCTCACTATCAAGAAGTACTGTTTTAAACAATATTAGTGATGGCACCAGATGTGTCATAGATCGATTATATATGATTAACAATATTGTTTATTAGTTTAATAATTTTAAGAGAAAATTGTTTATTTTGATATTTACAAGTGATTTCTAACATTTTAAAGGCACAACATGAATTTGAAAGTAGCTTTAATAAATACATTGTAACTTCTTTTTAAAGTTAATTATTTCTACAAAAAAATGTAAAATATAACTATAGAAATCACAACCATCCTAAATTGGGTCTAAAGCACTTTTGAATTTTATTGAAGTGCTTTTAATAATGTCAAATTTCATAAGGCAATTGTCACTTAATTTTGTATTACTATCCATAATAGCTAGTGATGGTGGATAATATTATTCCTTAATTCGGGCATGGTCAGTGTGACATATTATTAAAGTCATTACATTTCTAAATTGGGGCATATACTATATTATTAAGATGCTTTTTAGTTTTTTCTTCAATATAAATATTATGTTATAAGTTTCTCAATGAACAATATTATTTATTAAGAAACTCATTAATGATAGTCTGAGGCTGCATATTGTTAGTCAAATGCTTTGTCGTTGCTACTTTGATGAACCTTTTGCATGCTTTTTTCTTCAATATAAATATTATGTTATAAGTTTCTCAATGAACAATATTATTTATTAAGAAACTTGTTAAATAAGTGAAGCTTGCGACGTCGTTTAGGCTAGGGAAAAAATGCTGTCGTTTTGCCTATTAGTCCAAATCAATCACAGCCACCAAAGTTAAAGAGAATCCGACGGCTCCAATTCAATCACAAGTCAACAGTATAAAAGGAGAATTTTTTCACGCATTTTGGCAACTGTTCGTGTATTAGGGTTTTCTCTTTTTCTCTGTAAATACGTTTTGTATCCTGGTTAGGGTTTGTGATTTCATTCTGTTCTTCTCTGTGTAAACATTCTAGAGTCTTATTTTTTAGGGCGGGGTGTTCCTTAAAGGGTATAGAGTACTCTAGTGTTAGGATTTGCGGGATAAAAGAGAAGTGAATGAGTGTGTGAATGTTTGGTTGACAGTGAACGAGATTGGTCTGTAATCTATAATCTTTGGAGTGATTAATCCTAGTGCAGCGAGCTCCATATTCGGAGTTCAACGTGGATGTAACTTGTTCTATATTGAACAAGCGAATCACGGTAGATCTTGTGTTGTGTGATTTTTCTTATTCTTGTATTTTCTGTTTTTTGTTCTGAGGCTAATCTTGTAGGTTGAGGAATTAGTATTGATTTACAACAAAACTCATATTATGAGTCTAGGCTACATATTGTTAGTCAAATGCTTTGTCGTTGCTACTTTGATGAACCTTGCTAAGAATGCAAAAGTTAAAATGAAACGGTAATAGAAAAGCAAATCACTGTGCAAAAATATTGGAGTTTTCTTGTATGCAGACTTGGATTTTGTAAATGAAACTTCGTTGCTATTGCTTGAGACATGAGAATGAGAGAGCTTAAGCTTGAAGTTTGTTTGGTTGTATTACCAATTTTGTCGCCTTAAGTTCTGGCTTCATTAAGAAGTTCACCCTTGAATTATTGATTTTTTGTACCTATTTGTACGTGAAATGTTGAATTTTAAAAACTTATAAGTCACGTATTTCTTCTTATTTCTCACATTTCCTTTGTCAAGAAGAAAATATTTTACTCTTATATTCGTCCAGACGTTTACATCACGTTGTTCAGAGTGTTTTCAATGTTATTTTTAAAGATGACTAGACTATTGTAACTTAAATTTGTAATTATATACATTAATACAAATTGGCTGACAACCCAATCTCCAAGATTTTTGTTAATGAATTTTGAATTTTGAGAAATTTATCAGCAAAAAATTGAAAGTTGCCACTTGTGGATTGTGAGAGAAAGTTTGTGAGTTTAATTGTAAGTATTATAATGTGTGTGTGTATATATATACCCCAAATGTTCTATAAGTTTCTAGTTTTTTCAATAGTGTTGCTATACTAAACAGTTTCTTATAGAAAGATTAATTGTTCTTATATCTTATAAGAAACTGTAAATCACCTTTCAAGCCAAGATATATCTTGATCTTCTTGTACATCACCTTCAATAATTGATATAGTCCACAAACATTACATCTGTCAGCACCCAGAAAAACCAGATCAATACATTGAAGCTTGTTGAAAAAGCAAATTAATATTAAGTGGATTAATATGATTAATAAGCGCGATATTTACTAAATAAAGTTAATGAAGTTTATTTTAAAAAAAAAAAATGGAAAAATAATCCAGAATTCTATGGGTGACACGTCATTTATACCACCTAGAGTAAATTTATACTACGTCTGAATTATCTCTCTTTTATCTTTAAATTAATTGTGATTAGTAGTTGTAATAAGGGCTTAGTTTACTTACATTGTTTGGTGATGCTACATCACTAACCCTATTGGATTTTAGACATTCTTTTGATATCAAGGCACATCAGTAAAGATATTTGATGTGAATTTTGATTTGCTTTCCAAAAAAAGAGGCTGCAAACAACCCCAAGAGGTTGGCCTGATAGTAAAAAATGTTTGCTCTATTCCTTGAGTTTCTAGGTTTAAATCTTGGAGCCACCTACCACAATAATTGTAACTTGTTTGGTCTTTTAGGCTTGTAAGGTGTTCAATAAATTCCAAAGATTAGTTGAAATACATGCAAACTAGCCCGAACACCCCGATTACCAAGAAAAAAAAAAAAAAAATTTCTACAAGTTCTCTCTTTCAATTCTAAGGCTTCATAGGTAATAAACTCCTCCTTATAATAACCTTCTTCTTAAAGCTTTAAAATTTAACCTTATATATAGAGGCCTCAAGACACCTTTAACATATATGCAGCATCAACCTCAAAGCCTCTCTTTAAAATACCATTTTCCCTTATCAAGTAATTAAAAGCAATTTGGTCTCAACAACATCATGGGTTCTTTAGCAGGTCATGTAGCACCAGGCATTGCCTTCTTGGCACTTGGCTTGTGGCATCTTCTTAATCACATCAAGCTCCATTCTCTCCACCCAAATTCCTTCACTTCAACTCCATGGTTTCCCTCTTCAAAAATAAGGTACATTGAGCTCTACTTGATCATGCTAGGGACCTCCATTTCCATGGCCATTGAATTTGTCATAGGTCCCGAAAAACACCACCCTTTTGACACCGATGGAACCATTCCCTCTAACCATCTTCGCAACTTTGAACACGCAACAATCTCATTCACTTTCTTCACTTACGCAGCTTTCGCCATTCTTCTTGATAGAATTGGGTGCAAAACTCAGTTTGCCCTAACACAATTACTCGGAGCCATCGCCTTTGCCCAAGAACTTCTTCTTTTTCATCTTCACTCAGCTGATCACATGGGAATTGAAGGCCATTATCACTTGCTTTTTCAATTTGTCATTCTTGTTTGTTTAACCACAACCCTGATGGGCATTAGCCTCCCCAAAAACTTCTTGATCGCCTTTGTTAGATCAGCCAGTATTTTTTCCCAAGGTGTTTGGTTTATTTTGATGGGCTGCATGATTTGGACTCCTGAGTTTATACCGAAAGGTTACTTCATATACAACGACCACGGTCACCGAGTGGTTAAATGCCATGATGAGGAGGCTTTGCGTAGAGCTAAGTCACTTGTAAATCTTGAATTTAGTTGGTTTTTAGTTGGAAACACTATATTTTCAGTTTCTTTATATGTGGTTTTAGATCAAATTATTGGAGAAAAGAAAGTTGAGTATGCAACGTTGAAAAGAGAAGATGAACACTCCGACGATATTGAGTCACAAGAGGACAAAAAATTTGGTGCGCTTAAGAGTTTTTATTGGCACGGGAAAAGATGGTTTTGCATCAATTAAATTGAAAGATAGAAAGGAGAAGACGATGAGTCAAAAATTAAAGAGGGTTGGTGAAATCCAGTTTGTCACTTTCATTATCTTTGTTTTGGCTTAAAGAAAAAACAATGGATGGCTTGTGGAGAAAAAAAGTGTTATGAATATTGTAGAGGGAAATTGTTTGGTTTGTATATATTGATATGGCATTTAGCTTATTGGGATTGAGTGCTATCTGTTTGTTTGTGTAGATGAAGTTAATAAAATCCAATACCTATTTTTATAAATTAATTTATTATTTCTCTACACCCCAACTTCTAGTGAAAGATCTTCTTTTGTTTGGTTCCAATATTTTCTTTTATTTTATCATTCTTAGTTTAAACTAGCATTCTTAAGATCCAAAAAATCAGAATTTGCTGGTCGCTCACCGCACTTAATTCAGGTTTTATAATGTAAAAAGAAAATTAATTATATGCATGATTTGTTGATTATTCAATGGTATACTTACTACCATCAACTAACAATTATATAATTTCTATAAATAAAAGAGTTTATATGTATAAATTATAAATATATTTTTTTATTAGTATGTCAATATCGTGAATGACTTCGGCTTCTTTGAATTCTCCAGTATTCTTTCGGTGCATTTTGCCAACGGTGGAGGGATGTTGTTACCCCGATATGCTGGATTCATAGGCCAATCCATTCAACATGTCGGCTTATGAGATGCTTCCGTTGGCACCATGTCCTGGCATCGGGGCACAGTCAAATTCTGGTAGTGATTTTGTATGTATGTATAGTTAATTTACGCCGTGTCCTGGCGTCAGGGCACAATCAAATTCTGGTGGTGATATTGTATGTCTATAGCTAATTGAATATGCTCACGCAATTAGCTTATACCTATATATTATTATTTTTTTCCTTTTTTTTTTTTTTTATGATTGGGGTGTCCAGGAGAGAGTTTGTACGTACTTTAACTAATCTCCTGAGATCCTAAAACTACCGACTGGGTAAAAACTTCAATGACAACCCTTGTTAAGGGTCGTGAGAACTCGAACTCAAGAGACCTGGGTAAGAGCTCAAGTTTGTGAGGACTCGAATTCGAGAGATCATGTTAGATCCTCTATTACTCTTTTGCCATCAAACCACCTAGTAATAGTTCTTATACTTGTATGTTGAATTGGCTAAGGAGTTTATATTTAAGTAATTTGCACGTTATTTTTGTTATTATTCAATAAAATTGCATCATTTTAATATATATATTTTAACTTATTTTTATTTAGAAATTAAAGTTCCCTAATACTAGTTAACTTATGGCAATAACTTTTTGTAATAATTGATATATCCTTAAGCGGCCATATGGATGGTGTTAATATTAGATAATTAGTGTAATATTTTTTAAATTGAGTAGATGAAGATGTTTGGTTGGTTTGTAAAAAATTATTCTTGAAATATTTTATGATAAACAGTAGCATTTGGTCCCAATTAACTTTACATTGTTAACATTTACAAAACCACAATTCACTCATGTAGACACTTTTGTCTTGCTTTTAAATTTTTGGACGACACTGCCCTTGTTATTGCCATTATTTACAGAAATGTCATTGTACACAGAACTAGCCATCGTCAACCACCGCCGAAGGTAGCCAAAATCCCATAAACCCTAAACCTTGGTAATACAATTTTGTTTCTCATGTTGCCCCTAAATAATTGAGCATTTGGTCCAAATTAACTTATATTTGTTAACATTTACAAAACACACAATTCACTCATGCAAACACTTTTGTTCTTGCTTTATAAATTTTTTGGATGACACTGCCCTTGTTATTGTCATTATTTACAGAAATGTCATTGGACACAGAACTAGCCATCGTCGACCACCGCCAAAGGCTGCCAAAAGTCGCCATAAACCCTAGACCTTGGTAATACAATTTTGTTTCCCACATTGCCCCTAAACAGTTGAGTATTCGGTCCAAATTAACTTTATATTTATTAACATTTACAAAACACACAATTCACTCATGCAGACATTTTTGTTCTCGCTTTTTAAATTTTTTGGACGACACTGCCCTTATTGTTGTCATTATTTACAGAAATGTCATTGTACACAAAACTAGCCACAGTCGACCACTGCCGAAGGCTGCCAAAAGTCGCCATAATGGCATACGACTAACCGCGTATGGCCAACCGTGCGCTGGTGAGGCTTTTTCCAACCATGGATCATATATCCATGGTCGAAAAATGTCAGATCTAGCTATTTCACGACCCGATCTATGGTCGTTTCACAGCCAAAGATATGGCCGTGAAATGGCCACATATCTGACTGTGAAACGGTCGGAATTTCATGGCCAAAGACCTAACCATTTCACGGCCACATCTTAACAGTGAAATAACCAAATCTGTGGCACTGCCGGTGTCACGACCAGATCTGTGGCACTGTCAGCGGTGGTGGTTGGCTACTGACAGTGGCTTGGGGTGGGTAGGGGTGTTTTTGTTAAGTTTAAAATATTTTTGGTTGCCAGGGTGTTTTTGCTAAATTTGAAAAGTAGGGGGTTTAAAGAATTATCCAAAAAATAATAATAAAAAATATTGTTATATTAATATTTAAAAAGGAGTCCAATTTAGTAATCTATATAACATACCCACTCATTTATCCTCCCAACCAAATATATTATTCATCAATTTATTCGAATCAATCAAATACATTTTTTAAACATTCCCAGTGATATTAAAGGTGATCTTTTATTCTGTTAATATAATATCTCCCTATAATAAAACATTATATGATCTAAATGTCCCCTAAAAGTATGCTAGAATGAAAATGGTAATTAATTGGTGTTCAAATAAAAAAAATTATTTTATGGTGAGAATGCTAATTAACCTCTTATATATTCATATTAAATCTTAACAAAAATGCTATATCCATTGAAAAAATTGCACCGAAAAATTGCACCGAAACAGGTGGAGCTCCTTTTCTCTGACAGGAAGCCAAAAATGCTAAAACCAAACAAAACAAAATATACAAAAAAAAAAAAAAATGTCTTTCACGCTTTCCCACAACCAATGTGCTTTTTTGACGCCACTTCCTCTTCTTCATGGCCTTCCATGGCATTTTAGCAGTTAATGGAGAAGAAGAATCAGAAGAAGAAGGGAAAATCACAGGAGGAAATCAACACTTATTAGTAGATGATGACCTCAGAGAAATAGGCAAGAAAGCTGCTTGGAGTGTTAGCTCTTGCAAGCCAGGCAATAGCGTCTCCTCTCTTCGTGATGATAATCTTGATACCTATTGGCAGTAAAACTTCTCTCCACTCTCTCCAATTGCTTTTTAGTTTTATTAAAAAAAACTAATATGTAATGGACGCCCGTCCATTCCTTATGGACGGGCGTCCATTACACAATGGACGGCCGTCNGGGGGGGATCTATTATTTAAACATACCCTTGATAATACAATTTTTTTTCCTACGTTGCCCCTAAACAGTTGAGTATTTGGTCCAAATTAACCTTATATTTGTTTAACATTTACAAAACACCCAATTCTATCATGCAGACACTTTTGTTCTCGCTTTTTAAATTTTTCAGATGACACTACCCTTGTTATTGTCATTATTTACAGAAATGCCATTGTACACAGAACTAGCCATCATCAACCGTCGCCGAAGGCCAAGAAAAGTCGTCATAATGGCGTACGATCGACCGTATATGGCCGGTCGTGCGCAAGTGAGGCTTTTTCCTCGAAAAAGGTCAGATCTGGCTATTTCACAAACCGATCTATGGCCGTTTCACAACCAAAGATGTGGTCGTGAAATGGCCACATATCTGACTATGAAACGGCTAGGTCTTTGACCGTGAAACGGCCGGCATTTTATGGCTAAAGACCTAGCCATTTCATGGCTACATCTTTGGCCGTGAAACAACCAAATCTATAGCACTGCCAGCGTCACGGCCAGATTTGTGGCACTGTCAGCGGTGATGGTTGGCTACCGATAGTGACTTGCGGTGGGTAGGGGTGTTTTTGTTAAGTTTAAAACATTTTTGTTAGCTATGGTGTTTTTGCTAAATTTGAAAAGTAGGGGGTTTAAAGAATTATTCAAAAAATAATAATAATAAATATTATTATATTAATATTTAAAAATGAGGGCAATTTAATAATCTATATAACATACCCACTCATTTATCATCTCAATCAAACATATTATTTACTAATTTATTCGAACCAACTAAATATATTTTTTAAACATTCTTAGTGATATTAAAGGTGCTCTTTTATTCTATTAATATAATATCCTCCCATAATAACATATTATATGATCCAAACGCCCCTAAAATTATGTTAAAATGAAAATGGTAATTAATTGGTGTTCAAATAAAAAAAAAATTTTATTCTATGGTAAGAATGCTAATTAACCTCTTATATATTGATATTAAATCTTAAAAATCGATCCATTGAAAAAAGGATACACTTTGAATTTTGCACGAAATGCAATCGTTTCGTTCAAGACATGATTAATCAGTACGTTTTATTCCTTTAATTAATAATTAAAATATTTCAAAAAAAAATTAACTGAACAAAATGTAAAATAAACTGAAAATGCTTAATATATAGAAACGTTTATTTATAATCGATTGAATTAAGATTAGGGATACTTTTATTTCTCTCAATAGAAGCCATTAGCAGAGAATTAAACAGTAGCTATTGAATGCATGGTAGTCATCAACCATTATGAATTCCATCTCAGTAACAAGTTGAAACTCAGCTGTTCTGGCAGCGGCCGTGGCCATGATATATACACACAGCGGTGCAATCTGAATATTTAGTACATGATTGTGCTTCCACTCCCAATGGAAAACCTCTCAGAAACATTCGTTTAGAATACATATAGCTTGATTTAAAAGCTTAAACTATAAAACATTTTTTTAGTCGGACTTTAATCGATAAATAACTAATTAGACAAGAGAGGATGATTACCTGAAGATGCAATGATTAATAAGACCAGGAAGCAAGCCAATTTGAGAGATTTTCTCCATTTTTTGTAGTGCATGCTGTATTAAAGAGATAGAAGTGGTATATATAGCTTCTGCCATGGCTATATGCAGTGCGAACTGAATTTGTTATTCTAATTTCTTAATTGGAAATCAGGATAATACCATAAGATTTTGTTTATAGCTACTTCTATTCTTAAATTAATTAACAAATCTTATAGTGATTGTACGTCATTAATAACATATTTTATTTTGGATTATCATCATTCTCTCTTAAAATAAGAAAAAAAGGAAT